ATGAGCTACATCGACGTGAACTGTCTTGGATGTGTCAGATCTCCTCCTTAATTTCAGGAACAAAACATTTGGTGAACTGCGTGCACACCTGCGAGTGAAAGGAGTATAGAATGCGCATCAACATTCAGTACAAGCCCACCACAAAGCAGAAGGACAGCAGGATCCTTCCGGTAAAAGAGCATGTGCGATCACACTCAAGTGTTTCACATGTAAGGAGAATTGTAGGATTGCTATTTTGGTTAACTTGTGCTCCTGACTCCTGTGCTTGCACCTTTGCTTTCTTCTTAGGAGCCTCAACCTCCTCCTCTTCCTCATCACTACCAAATAGCTCCTTCATGCCCCACTCACCTTCCTCACCCTTGCCAGCTTTCACCTTCTGACCTCGTTCACGCTTTCCTTTAGCTGTTTCTTCATCATCGCGTGGCTCTGGCTGCCTTTTCTGTTTTGGCTTCCTTGCTTCTTCCTCCACCTCGTCACTCTTCCCTTTTCCATTCTTCTTCTTCTCTTGGTTCTCCTGGCTGTGCTTCTGCTTTGGGCCACGCCTGCTTTCTCTGGCTTCCTCTTCTTCTTCTTGACGCTTGCCCTTTTTGATCTTGGGTTCAACCTCACCTTCATCTTCTTCAGGGGCTTTCTCTTCTACTTCTTTACGCTTGCCCTTCTTGGTCTTAGCGCCCTGGTCGCCTTGAGGTGTCTTTTTTGTCTTGGGCTCCCTCTCAACCTCATCTTCATCTTCTTCCCTCTTCTTCTTCTTCTTTGACTTTTGTTCATCCGCTGCCTTCAACTTGCTTTTCCCCTCCTCCACGGTGTCATCCAGCAACGTCTCCTCCAACTCCTCCTCTTCATCCTTCTCCTTGTTGCCCTTCTTGGCTTCAGGAGTTAGCTTCAATCTTCTCTTTGTCGGCGCTTCTTCCGGCGACTCCTCCACCTCAATCACTTTTTTTCCTTTGCAGCTTCTTCTGCTTGGGGTCAATCCACTCAGACCTGGGGACCACCACATCGTTCAAAGCTTGCACCCCAGACCCTCTACCTTTGCCCTTCCCTTTCTTGGGTGGTGTAGTGACCTCACTGGGTTTGAGCTCAGCCGCAATGCGTGCCAAAAAGCCAGGGCTGAGCGTGCCACCCCTCAGAACTCGCTGGAGATGCGCTTCCAGATCCTTTTCTGACAGGTCCTTTGTATTCTCATAGAGTCCTTTGAGCTCTTCCTCAAACTCTTCCAGGGTCTTGGCGGTTGAGCCACTCTCCTGCCATTTCAAGGTCGTCTTGCCATTGCAGCGGCGGTATGGAGCGCAAATAGCTTTTGGGTTCACCTCTTCCTCAACTTCTTTCACTTTCCTGCCGCCCTTCGGTTTCTCTGGCTCAACTCCTTTCCATTTCCCACTAGCCTTTGCTTCTTCTTCACTTTCTTTCGGTTTCCTGCACCACAGTTTCTATAGTGCCAGCTAGAAATCGCACACATGCAAAACACATACTGCAGATAAAGGCTTGCCTCCCCATGTGTGGTGTTAGAAGACCTCAGAAAATCTTGAAATTCAAATTTCACGAAATTTCACGTTTAGAAGTTGCAAGGGGCACCCTATACAGTAAGTTCACGAAATTTCACGGTAATTTCACGTTGCATATTTTTCAAAAAACATCGAGCGCACACATCTGTAGGGGTCATAAATTTCATGCTGTCGCATATTTCATGATATGTTTGTCGTAAAATTCATGAGGTTACAAATTTCATGAAATCATGAAATTTGCGACCAGACTGAAGACATCACCTTTAAATAGCTCTAGGCTTGAGGCTGATCGCTGACGCAAATTTCATGCAAGCGCCATGAAATTTAGTGAAATATTGTGAAATTCGCGACGCTTCCACATGCAGCCGGGGTGCCTTCAACCGCACATATATATATATATGTCGGAGCGCCCGCTGTCTTAAGGAAAAGAAAAGGGATGAGCAAGACCGCGGACAAGCGCAATGAGCATGATAAAGTACATGTGCATGCATACAAGCTGGACTCTAGGACACACGCACGCATAAGAGTACTTAAGGAAAGCGTGAGCGCACGAATTGCCAAGAAATTCACAAACCTTTTGTCCCCTGCATTGCTGTCCCCCACATTGTATCAGGTCGATCGAGCAATTGCAATTGCAGCTGAAGATCCACCTGATGGACCATACAAGCTGCTTGCCTGAAGGGCTAATCAAACAGTTCAGCTAGACCTGAGTCGCTTGAATCGGTCCCATCGTCTACAAACTCTAAACCATGATCAGGTCGGACTCGGCTTGGAGGGTCCATCTTGCTCCTTAGGTAATGCAGGTAGATCGAGGCAATTAGTCCGATTGAGGAAGCCTTGGGTACTGAACAAATCTCAAGGTTTCAGGGATTCCGTCTTGAAACATTCTTGCAACCTTCAACTTTGAACGCCAGTCTTATTTGAGAAGTAAAAGATCCAAGGTGCATCTCCGCGCGTAGCATTTGTCCCACCTACCAATTTCAATCAAGACAAGAAGGTCGACGAACCACATAGACCACAAGTGTGGACCCTGTGAAGGACACACAACAAGTTGGTCAATCCCGGGTACCTGTGGACCTTTTCCAAAACCTTTAAAGGAATGGCCTTGGGGACACCTATAACCTGTCTTGGGCCACAAGAAGGAACTGAGCAAGCCTTCAGCCCCATTCCAGCAGGATAAGTAGCACTCTTTGTCAGGTCGCGGCCCCCCACCTCAGTGAAAGTATATGTTGTACGGGAAGAGGGTAGGCAGGACATCTCAAAAAAGGTTGAGCAGACCACAAAAATACATAGGGCCAATAAATAGGGCCAACTAGATGCTATCTGGCCCTATTTATTTTTGTGTCCCCCCTCCACCTCTTTTGGCGTGTAGCAGAATTGCACTTTGCATGAAGCTGGGTCTCTGGCTATCTTGGTCGTTTGTGTTTCACGACAGGTGTACCGGCGGACCATCTCAATATCCAATCTGGATTTAAGCCGAGCCAAGCGTTCCCTGCACACACCAACATTCAAACACAGAAGTCTTGGACCACACTTGTACAAGCACATAGCAGGCCTTTGGCCATCATCGACCGGCACTCCCATTTGCAACAGCCACTTGCACGTCGTAAACACAGTGATTGGCTTCCTGGAAGTCCACCAAACTGGCACGTGTCCACTCAGACTAGGCCACGAACAAACGGCAACGAAAGAAGGCACCCTAACTCCATAGGCTTTTTTTTGAGGTTAGAGGGGATAGTCCACATCAGTTTACAAAGGATTTGAAAGAGAAGTGGACCTGCAGCTGCAGTTCAAGAAAGCATCACAAACCGCGGTCATGGTAGTCGCACCATATGCTCCAAGACATATTCGAACAGTTCGTGCACCATGTCGACGAAGCAGCTTCTGGAAGCAGAAACCATTTTGCTGAGAATGACTCATACACTAGCGCACCAAGGGGGGGTACAGAGGAAATGACCAGCAACAGCAACTTAATTCAGCTACAGACACAAACAGCTCCCCCACCTCAAGGGGAGGATACCACCAAAGCAAAGAGCTCTGCGGTTGTTCAAGGGCAAAGAAACATCCTTTCTTGGCCACGTACTCGCATCTGAGAGGCCAAGAGCAGTTGGCAGTTGGCAGACCCAAAAACAATTGCTTAAAGGACACATAAAGGTTGAAAACAACAGAAGATAGGTCCAGTCTGGGTTTTGAACTTGACTGCGTTTATCCCTTGAGAAGGGCTGTAGTGACCATTTATAGCGCAATGCGATCTTGAGGACGCTTCTTGCACTTTCAATCAATTCCTTCAGATTGCTAACGACAAGGCGCCACTAGCAGCCAAGCGGCAAATAGCAAACCCGTCGAATGATTTTGTTTGATAGGCGCACTTTGCTGTATTTCTTCCAGCCTGCGCACGGAAACTGCTGACAACACACTATCTTTGAGGAAAGTGGAGAGTCTCCGGATACAGTATCCGAAATCACTGAAGTTGACTGATACACACATGGGCTCACGTTTTCAAACATTCAAAACAGCGCACCTTTCACACGTGTAATGGACCTCCCAGTCGTCCCACGGCTGAGCCAAATCCAGCTCGAACAGGGGGGCCCTACCCAGTAGAGCCCCCGCTCTTTCAAGCGTCTCAACTTAGGATTGGCAAAACATGCCACAGATGACAAGTTACACAGAACGCGCAGGCCAGATTGACAATGGTCACTCTTCAAGATTTAGGCATGAGAAGAATTATGGCAAAGGCACTCCACTCAAAGCGCATAAGAAACCCAAGCCAGTTAGGAGATCATGCCCAGCACTGTACAAAACCTCGGCGACACCGCGGCGACGCAATAAAGCTGCCAGCAAAATCTGAAGTTGGGCCATGTAGTAGCATACATTTTGGGCCTGTCTGGAACATATTGTGCGTTTTGACAAGGGCTCCTACAGTAAACCAAGGAACGTCACGCTTCAGCGCCCGCAATCCAAACTGGCGGACTCCAGCACTGAGCAATCCAGCACCTGCACAGTCCTCCTGAAAATGAATTTCTTCAGACTCATCCTCGATGGGACAGTGATGATTCAGCAAAACGAGTAGGGCAACCAGCACTGAGTAACGCATGGCCGCTGGTACGGGTGCTCACAGGACTAGCTCGAACCAACCACAGCTAGTAAAGGAATCAGAATAAAAATTGCCAGCTGCTGTCACACTATCTGCAAATGAATGAACAGAGAAACCTGCCCCATTCCATCGTTCCACCACCCTTGCAAGCCTAGACGACGCTTCTTTGTTGGTGAAGCCTGGCGGGCATTTGCAGCAATCACCCACCCAGAAAACAGGAAAAGAAATAGCCACCTATTGCTTGCACACATTCACTGGACTTGACATGAAGGCAAAGCAAAGAACACTGCAGCCCAGATTGTTTACAAGTGGTCCAAAGACGTCCCCCAACCTTCATCCACGGCCTTTACCAACACGCCATGCACCTTCAAGTCCAGCTAACAAAAAAAATGAGAAACAGGTCCAATCGCTATAGTTGCCACTAACACGCACACCACATGACAGGCTCATCTCGCGCCAACAGCCACGCGAAACACACACATTGTTTTGCGCTAGCAAGACTTCTAGATTCTACGTCTGATGGAGTCCATCTTGATCCGACAAGATGACAACCCTTTGCGCTTTCTGCAAAAGGACCCAACAAATTGATTTAGCAGCTGAGAAAACTGCTAAGAATTCTGACCCCAAAAAAGTGAAGCCCACTACCCTCACACAGAATCTATAAGCAAGAAGTTGCTACCTTTTGAACATGAGAGCACTTGTTTTGGGCTTCACATCCCCGCTCAAGAACTCAAGGAAGCTCTTTCGATCACATTAAATCACTTTTTAAGCAAATCGGCGCCGCTTCTGTTCAGACGGCGACATGGAGGCAATAATGGTTCCCCTTTCTGGCGAAACTTTCCACATTTTCAATGCCTTCCAGTAATGCACCCCTACCTTCTTCTGCTTCTCCACAAATTTGCGAAAAGCAGCCTCCATTGGGCCATTGTTTGGCTGACGCTTTTGAGGCTTAGACTTCACAGTCTTCACCTGTGCCTTTGTTTTCTTTGCCCTTTCACCTTTGTTAGCTCCTTTGCTGCGACCTTTCGCAGCTACTTCCTCCCGCTTTTCGCGCAACAACCCCTTCTTTGCTACTGGGTCTACAGGGTCAGGCGTCATTTCAGGAACATTCAAGAAGGTCGGCTTGTTTGGCGTGGTGAGCATGATTCCTTTCATATGGAAAGATGTTGGGGCCCGAGATGATGTTGGACCACCTCGAGGACCTTTAGCAACATCAGTCCATATCTTGGTACGCTCTGCTGACTCACGACTGCACTCCGAAAGCTTTTGCTTCAAAAAGCCAAGGATTGCCCCCTCTTCAGGCACTCCATCTCGCTGCGTCTCCTGGAGCCAGCAGGTGTAGTCAGAAAGGTTACAAAAGAGGGAGCAAGACTCACACATACATTGAACACCAGGAAAAGGGATTGCATATATAAACAGCATCCTAAAGAAGCACATTAATATGCCACTGGCCTCTTCGGCAGTTGGCGCAGACTCCGGAAGCTCATCTTGTCCAGGTTCAAAAACCTTGCCAAAGGTCACCAACAAAGAACATGCAGCCAGGCAAAAATCGGAGATAAATAGATTGAACGCGGGACTCATTCAGAACACGAAATCCCCAGCCTCAGACCAATCAAATTCATCAATATCATCTCTTGAAGGGTACTCACGATTTATTTGGGAGCCCACACAGCTACTGTTGTTCTTTGCAAAGCGTACCCTGCTACCAAACGACAGCAGAGAAAACACAGGGTCAACAAATAAAGACCATCCTCTAGCGTAGGACAATGTTTCTCTTCCCATTCTACTTCATCATCCCAGATGTAGCTCAAGTCAACTCCAGTGTAGACACCGTCGCCCTCCATCTCTTTGTTGGCTTCAATCTCCTACCCCAGCCAGGAGATTGCTAGAGAACATTTCTGGGAAAACTGCACGCCCACGCCTCACGAAACGGATTGGGCGGCAGTCTCTTGTTGGGGAACTGCCGAATCCAAGTCTCCATGAACCTGGACATGCGAGCCGCCAAGGTTTTCGCTGTGTTCACCTGCAAAAGCAGAACTGTGGCTGCTGAGCTGCGCTACGGGGAGAAGAGCGCGCAACATGGAAGTGTTGGTCGCCGTTGTGACATCTCGCAATCCATATGGGTTTGGAACACTGCGCAAACCCCCAGCCTCCATCAAAGGCTCCGGGCCCATGGAAACGTGCGACGCAGCTCGACGTGGTTCTCGGTCCTGACTGCATGGGAAAACACGCCAAGTCTAACTAGCAGTTGTTTTGATATGTCTTATTTGCAGAGTGTAGTGCATGCCACTTTGATTTCACTCCTTAAGATAATAGTACACAGCAATGCCAACATATGCTGGTCCTTGTGAGTTCCTTTGGGTTTCAAAGGCTTGTTGATCTCCTCGTCTGAGTCAAGCTCAACGTCAACTCCAACCGGTGATAGCCGTTCACTTGATGGCACCTCAGGTCTTCAGACTTTGCCAGATTGGGAAACTGCCTGTCTAGTTTCTTTGGGCGACCATCAAAAATTTCACTGGCACGTGTTTCTAAAACTGATCTTGCTGGCCTCATAGGTTTGGTCACAGGCCGGATCACCCCCACCAGCCTGCAATCAATCACAATCAGTTTAGATAGGACACGTGGCGCTTCAAAAAAATCACAAAATGCGAGGCCCATGGACAAGAAAGGGGGTGTGCATGGGCCTCCAGGGGTACAGCTTCCGCTTCACTACCATCCTTGTAGCCAGGCTCCTGCAAGAAAAACCATTCATGGGTGGGAAGAGCCTGTCCACGAGTTTGCGCCAATTAAGGTTGTAACATCGAAGTCCGACAGTCGACTTTTCCTAAAAGATCCAGAAGCAAGGACAAGGACCTGAAGAAGTTGAATTGCATTCATCTACAGTGTCCTCATCGTGTGGTTCATCGTTCAACTGCTTGGCCAACGTAGCCAGATAGTCTTTGAACTTGCAGTACTTGTCGAGTTCCTGACCAAAGGGTTTATGCTATATGTCATATGTCTCTCTTGCAGGACGCATCAATGATGGTTCATGGGCAGCGTGGAAAGCTTTGGCTTCAGCTGGAAGTACTTTGGCTACAGCTGGAAAACTCCAACACATAGTCTCCAAAGAAAAACACTCATGAAGGTAGGATCGAGTTCAAGCCTCTTCGGACCAATCATCCTGCGACAAGGCTTGAAACAATTTTTGTTGCACCAACATCTCAAAGAAGGCGCAACATGAGGAACAAGGTTTCTCCAGAGTTGAATTGCAAGTCGATCACACTAAACAGATGGAAAGAAGAACACACACATGTCTCGCAATCGGGCGGCGATCGGGAAGACGGGCCGTGCAAACTCAGGCGGCCTCCTCCTGCACCAGCTGGTACTCATCTGCCCTGGCTACCTGGCCAAGTGGAAGGGGGGCTGGAAACGGCCGTTGTTGTTAGAAGGTTTGGGAAAACCAAATGTTGTTGCCTCTCCAAGTCCATCCATACCGTTTTCCAACGGGAGGGTATCATCCTGGGAGCGTTCAACATGAAGAAACGTGTTTTTCTCCCACGCTAGTCACTAGCTAGCACAGCTGCAGTGTCCTGGTCGGCCATTTTGGAATTGCAGCACACAGCCTTAAGTTTGAGCCACTGCTGCGCGCAAGTTTAAAGCAAATAGGACTCGGACTGAGCAATTCTTCGCAACAAGTTAGCTCTAAAACAATCTGTTTGCGCTGAGTAACACGGAGAGCGATTTTCTTGGCTTGTCGAGTGAGCCTGCTCAACCTTTTCACTTGAATAGATACATAGTCTTCTTGCGATTGTCGGGGGTCTGTTGCCAGGGAGAACGGAAGCTTTCGAATGAGCTTCCTCACCACTAGGCGAAGAAGACGGCCAGTGAAATATCGTTTTCCAGAGCATGCATGATCTGCCACAAACTGAAGCAACCGGCGTAGATAGGCTTTCTTTAGATTTCCTCTGGGGAAAAGACTGCCTGTTTCCTCAACCTTTTCCATATCCAGGTTCTCCCAGATTTGGGTTACCACAAACTCAGCATTCCTGCGGCGTTCTTGCTTTTGGAAAGATTTCCGTGAGGAAAGCACCATGATGGGCAACTACACACGTAGCTGAGTCTGTAGGCTATGGATGTATATCTTTTTTTCGCCGATATAGATAAATTGATTGAAACATATGTATATATATATATCCATATGTATATTGTATATTCAGAAACTCCAGTGATCCGAACTTTGAGCCTGGAGTGACGCACACAGCTTCTGGCAAGTGACTAGAACACGCCACTCAATTCTCCGATCTGAGGCTACCTAACCGGCCTTGCACAAAGCACGGGCGGCGCACCCACCAGAGAAGCGAAAAGGAAATGAAGATGGGACTCACGTGGGTGGTTTTGCAAAACGGAGGAATCGTGGGGGGTACAGAAAGATGTGGGTTACAAAACGGTGTTGGGGGACCAGAGTCTTAAATGGAATTGTTCTCTTGAACTTTTGCGCCTGCTTTGATGATTGTGAAACGAAACGGCTGCTGGTTTTTGTGCGGCCACATCAGCTAGGGCCCTGCCAACATGAAAAACCTCAAAATAAGGTCTTCCGTCTGTGTGGCCAAGCGAAAGCAGCAACACAGCGCCAAGAACGCTGAGATTCCGATAGCTAGGTCCTTCATGGGCGTCAGCCCATCAACAAATCATAGCGCCCCAAAAAACGCTACTGTGTATATATATATATATACGCATCACACACACTCTGACATTGGTTTTCAGTTACACTCAGTTCCCGCGTTGAGAAGGAAGGCGATGGAACGGCATGGACAGCTAACTTTCAAAGTCCTGCTGCTAGCACTCACTTGCATATAGCTAAGCTGGGTGAGACATGCTCAGTCATGTTTCAAGCAACACAGACTTGACAGCAGACTCTGCCACAGTTCTGTATTGCACCTAGTGAAGCTGGTTCGTCTTGGCACGCGCGCGGCCAAGTACCAAACACATGTCTGACCAGCGTACAGCTCTAACA